TTTTTATAAATCCCCCCCCCCCCCCCCCCCCCCCCACAGTGTTCAAAATGTGCTTACCTTAAGAACTTTCAAAGTTTTGTTTTCTTTAAGGCACAAAGCAAAACGTACAGCTCCTTGTAATGAAATGCGGTTGTTACTACAAACACAAAATACACAGACAGGTCATGCAAAAAATAAGTGAAAACTATTGTTAAATATGTATATAAGTAAAAAAGGATTATGGATCGAACTCCACTATTTTCTCTATTGTGTGACTATAAGGGAATATAGATTCTTCTAAACTGAAGATATCTGATGTGCAAATAATCTTCCAGCTTTTTTTTTATTATAATGGTAATCTGTCCAGGAAAGAGCGCTAAAGGTGACTATAGTTATTATATAATAGATTTCATATTGGGCTTCTTTTGCCTGGATTGCGCAACAAACCAATGTCGGTGGGACAGCATGTGACAGTCTCAAACTAGCATTCCTGGGAAGCATAATATTTCATAATAATTCCTGGGAAGCATAATAATCATGATAGCTTTCCCCATTGCCAGGATGGTTTGCACGCACTTATCATTTTCTATTCCATTGCACATAATAGGCTCACTTATGTGACTATAGTGCTCTGCTTTCGGGGAAAAACTGACCAAAAACGTAAGACAGTCAGATAATGTATGAACGCCTGTTACCTAAAGTCTGTCACTAGCACATCCAAGAACTCCCCATTCTATTCAATGATCAGCTGTCATGAAATGAACACATGGATATTCTAATAAACAATATTTACTGCTTTGAGTAAGGCATCCTAAACATGTTCAGTTTGGTCTGATCAAAAAACCCTTGTGACCCCAAATTATTGATTACCTTATATTTAGCTCTTCTAACACATTATTAGCCTTTAGGGCTTCTGCTAAAGCTGTAGCTCCATCATTGCCAAACCCATTGTATGAAAGATCCAGCACTCTTAGGAAAATATTTGCCTAGAAGAAAAACAATGAGAGTGATTAATACTGTATGTATGTTAAAAAAAAAAAAAAACCTCAGGGATACAAATGCTCCTGATTAAAAAATATAGAAAAAAATGTGACTAATCCGAATGGCAGTCGGTCAATCAAAATGGGCAACAATTTCATGTTTATAGCGGCCAACAGATACCTGTAGTTCATTGGTTCTCAAAAAATACAAGAGAAAAAACTTTTTACGCTTTCAAAATAATAATACACTAGGCAGCCAACACTTACATGATGACTCACTATAAAATAAATGTCAATGATATTAATGTAGCGCTCGACAAATCTCGAATAGATCATCCTCGAAAATTACTGGATGTCATGCTGCCAAGCTCCACCCTGCACGTTACATCATCAAGACTTCGTCGGGGTCTTATTTAAGATGATGTTTATATAAGTTTTATGCTATATATAATCCCATTTTTTTATTTTTGAGCACATGTCGATGGATGCTGTATGAGGGATTGACTGCAGTAATATCCACTAATAGGCAAGCTAGAAAACCTGTTCTTATTTTTCCCCAAAGGGTGATATCTCCATTTAAATTAAAAGCTCTGTTCAGTAGACTGCTGTGTTTATGTTAGCATTGGGTGAAGAAGTTGCCAGAGGGCTGTCAGATTTTGCCTCTCCTGTATAGAAGTTCAGCAAAGCAAAGCAACCTCTAGTTATCAAAATAATATAAATGATTATATACCTATCCACTACACTCACCCTAGCATAAGCTTTCAGCAATGCGTTACATGCTGTACAGGGCTAGTGTAAAACATATCATGTTGTTTATGGAGAAATGAATATCCATCAAGAAGCATAAATGTAGTACATGAAAGTAAACCTGAACATACATGAATTTTATCACTGCCCCAGGACATGTAGCCCAGGAATTGTAGAATGTCAGTTTTCATTGTTGACTTCTAACACACATATTTTGCTTGATAACAGTTGACCTTTCAAAGTGTTTAACAGTCAGTGAGGCCAAACATAAATCACGTATTATGACATCTTTGATTAAAGTTGGGCCTGATGAGATGCCTCCTGGAATGGGCATAATGTGTATGGCTTTATTATTGGTGCTTGTATATACATGGTTCACATTTCCTCCAGGAATGGGCATAATGTGTATGACTTTATTATTGGTGCTTGTATATACGTGGTTCACATTTCCTCCAGGAATGGGCATAATGTGTATGACTTTATTATTGGTGCTTGTATATACATGGTTCACATTTCCTCCAGGAATGGGCATAATGTGTATGACTTTATTATTGGTGCTTGTATATACATGGTTCACATTTTTTCTCCAGGAAGGGGCAATATGTGTATGACTTTATTATTGGTGCTTGTATATACATGGTTCACATTTATTTACAATGCAGAGTAAATTTGGCTCTTCAGCCGCAAAGCCTTGAGCAAGTTATCTGAGCCATAAATAAGCACCAGCCACCTACAAGGAAACATATTAAGTATCCCTCTAAAGCAAATACTTACAGTCACAAATGATGATAAATATGTTTAATCTACCTCAGTTAAAAAAAGAAAGAAATACATCCAGTGGCTTTGTTATGTTAGCGTTAGATAAACTGAGATAATGCGGCAAAGTCAAGGGGAGTTTTTTTCCTGAATCCTCCTAATACATTATGACAGTCAGCTAGCTAGTCTGCTAATGAAAAATAAGCGTTACACTGGCATGGAAATAAATCTCCTTCCTAATTCAGTGCAATCCAGAAGGTCATATTTTTGGGGGTATTAGTTTACTTTAGTCACTTATACAGCCAAAAAGCATCATGCATGCCATTTAAATAAATGAAGTGCTCATTCTTTATGGCTACACGCTGTCCTTTTATAGGAGCAAATGCCAGATTCTAATGGGTGGAAGAACCCAGGGGCTGATAAATGTTTTGCAGGTACCAGCATGTTAGGAAGTCAATAGAAAGGGTATGGTGGTCAATGCTGTATATTAATACGCATGATGGCAGTGGGGATGACTTTTTCTCTGTATTTGCACTAGCACAGACTGACACTTTTGGAAATCAATGCATCAAAATCAATGATTTTTTTCCCCAGATAATATATCGTATAGCCTACTAATGGAAATCTTCCTGATCCATGACTGAAAATTAAAAGGCAAGCTGGAGAGTGTAGTATTCACAATATCTTTAAAGCAGAACTCCAGGCACAAACACATTCATTTAATTATATTGCTCAATAACCACAAAGGATATAAATCCACTTTGTGTGCACTATATGTCTCTGCAAAACCAAATAGTACCTTGTAAAAGTAGCAGTGACATCATCACTGTGCCGTACATAAACTGAGCAGAGAGAAAAGCTGTGGGAAGGACCCAGCAGGCCACAACCACTACGGGCTGCCTGCAAAAAAACTTAAGGAGGGGCGGATACAAGACCAGTCACCCTGTACTAGGAGAGAGCAGCACTGACTGGTCTGTATCACAGAAAGCTCATGCACAGAGGTAAAGTTTCACACTGGCTTACTGCACGAATCTAGAAGAAATACACAAAGCACACCAAGATTCAAGTAGGGATACACATTTCTCTTGTATTTAGACAATATCTGCTTATCCTGGAGTTCAGCTTTAAAGCATTTTTCAATAATCTAATACAGTAGTTGCAGAAAGCAAATAATCTTGAAATTCTGAGACTGAGATAAGATGACATCCTGTAAAATTACTAAAATGTATTCAGCAGTATGATATCTGGGTAAAGAATAGCTATGGGTTACTGAACTTTGCCAATCCTAATTGCAATCGTTGCACGGTCTCACTGAATAGGTCAGTACAGGGCTCATTAGCCTCATTATAATAATCATTTAGAATGCAGAATTCTAGAGCTCAGGCATGTCTGACTCACATGAAACAGGGGCTGAAATGAGCAGAATAAATCGACAAGGAGCCACATTATATCTACCGAGGTCTATGGAACTGCAGAAAAACAGCACTTAGGTAATTAACATAGTAGAAAAACAGTAACTTACAACAATATCTGCCTGAGAAAGGGTCCATGGAATATTTTAAATAGCATTTGGATTCAACATTTTGTATGGAAGTGCAAATGGAATTCAATATAGACTGTTCTCCTAAACCTTAGGGGAATCAACTTAGGTAATTACCCAGCAGACTACCATCTCCATTTGAGCCATTTGTCAAAAAAGAGCTATAAGCATTCTCTATTAATCCATTTCTTAAGCTGCTGCCCACTCTTACATACCCGCCAAGTGGAAGGACCCCCTTCGACCAGTCAATGGATGGCTGCGGTTAATGATCTTATCAAGATAGAAGATGTGGCTTCTCCTCTCAAATGTCAGGAAAATAACTTCCAGAAAATGTAGTTGTATTGGTATCAATTTTAATTTTATGATGAATACAAGGGTCTTAAAATGTATGGCCCCACAGTTTTTGTTCAACATCAACTGATGCTACATATCTATAGGAGGTCATTCTTTCCTCCACTCATGGAATAATGTGTAAACAGACATGGTGCCAGATCTCTTCTGTCTGTGAATGTGCAAGAAGCAGGAAGAGAGCCACCTTATTGAGACGTAATAAAGAAGATGGAAGCAGGGGACAGGACCTTGAGTAGGAGAGCCATGCAAGAGAAGAGGACAACTCTGGATCAACTGGGCTTGTAAGTATATTAATATAGTATGAGAAGAGCAACAAAGGTAAGAGGGAAAACAAATGTGTATTGGAAGGGTGAAGTTTCTCTTTGAATCCCTAAACTGAATGAGGGCCGCTTGCACCTAAATAACCACCATTCTGACTTGCATGCTATGGATAAAATGTTATGTTACAAGTAGGGATGCACGGATACCTTTTTCAGGATCGAGTACGAGTATTGATATTTATCTTTCCGTACTCGCCGATACGGACTACTGATACTGGTACTTCTGCTAGCATGGAGTTGGGTTCCTGGCCAACCAGGAAGCCGGCCGGCTTCTTGATTACCCGGTAAGCTGGCTCAATGCTGTTTGGCCGGCTCGATGCTGATTGGCCGGGCAGCCGGCTCTATGCTAGCGGAAGTACCAATACCTGTATCGGCGCATCCCTACTTGTACCATTAACATTTTATCCATGGCCGGCAAGTCAGACTGGTGGTTATTACTCACCGCCCGGCTTCCTGATTGGCCGGGAAGGCGGCTCCATGTTCCCTCGTGGCACTGCCCGTTAGAGGGAATATCCCTCTGACTGGAAGTTCCAGTATCGGGGGTAAGTATCGGAGCAAATACTGGGCCAAATACCAAATATCGTTGTATCCCTAATTACAAGAACACTGTAGCGGTTGCTGGTTAACGAGCATATAAAATTCTTACCCCTAAGCCTTTAGCAATGGCGACAGCTCCCTTCCCACGAAAGTGATTCCAGCTAAGATTCATCTCCAACATTCCTGTATTTTCAGCAATGGCAGCCCCCAAAATTTTACCTTCATGTCAAGAAAGGAGGACAAAAATTATTCCATAGACTGACTATCATTTAAAATAAAACTTTACAGAGGAACAGATAGCAGTGGCAGCCCACAAGCTTCTTTTATGGCAGGTAAAACCATTCACAAACCTGGAGTATCCAACATATTATGAAATAAATGTATAAGCAGAAGATATTTTACATGAAAAACATGTCAAAGCAATTAGCTACATAGGCAACTTAAAGTGTATGACCAACCAAATGTTTTTTTCTTCGTTTTAGATAATTTTGGAAGTGGGCAAGGGTTAGACAGGTACTGCTATCTAGGGCTCTGTTAGATAGAATTCTCCACATTCCCTGTCCTGCTGACAAAGTCTTCCCAGAGAGGAAGTAAGGGGAACTCTTCAACAGCAACACTTCAACCAATTGTATGAATGGGCCCTAAAGAATTCATTATTGACTTGCAAAGTTCCTCTGAATGTGTTAGGCTATTCGGGAAGAATCAGTTGCCTAGCACAGTCTACTTCTCAGACTCATAGCCCTCTTCTCTTCTGGGACTGTCTAATGATGGTGCTGTGCTGGCCAAGCTCCTCAACTCCTCACCTCCCTACATTACCTATATTGTAACAGCCAGGGGAGGAATGAAGTTAAATTTCATAGAGTGTCACCTGAGTCGGCTGGGGCTGTTGACATCATATCCAAGATGGCAGAGCCCAGCAGCAGTCTCAATGCTTTTGGAGATCTACATAAGGCTTTAATAGGTGAAATGTACATATAATGTTATGGGAAGGTTGTTGTTGAAATGAAAGGTCTGGTGACAGTAATGGCCTGGATGGGAAGGGGGTTTAACACCGCGGATGTCAACTGGTTAAATTAGATAAGAAATCAAATTGGGCTTAAAGAGAGAAGCAGAGATGTATAAATGTTGGTCTCTGTTCTCCAGTGTTCACAGACGCCATCTAGTGGGGAAAATTAATATTATACACTGCATATATTTCATGGGACAGTGCTAAGCTGAACTATTATTAATATTATTTATTGAGGGGGAAAAAGGGAGCTGCTATGGAGAGATGAACCCACCAACTGTGCAAACAAGGCTTTATAAATTAGATACATTCAGATCTGTGCGTTACAGTTACCACAATGCACAATAACGCACAAAACTAAGTGTGGTGCAGTTTCTTTTGAACACGCACCATTGCACATACCCTGCATACCATAGCACATGGCAATGCACAGATGTAAAACAACAGGTACGTTTTTCTTGCACTGAGGTGCATTGACAGCACATTCCAAATGAATCGACTGCCTTAATACTATGCACCTCACTGTACAAAAAGCGCCATGCATTAAAGAAGAACTATGGGCAAAACTTGTATTAACCCTTGCAGTGGGGCTACCCCCCGTACTGCAAGGGTTAACTGCGCATTTTCATCTAGGTGCAAAAAAAAAGTTATAATCACCCGAACCTCGGAGCCAGCCAGCTTTTACAGTGCTTCCTTCAGCCCCTCTCCTTCTATACTGCAACAATGGTATGTCCTTTAGGGTCCCCATGTCCTATACACTGTGTATGAGGATCCTTAAACCGTTGCAGTGGAGGAGAAAGGCTGGAAGGACCAGTCTAAGAGCAAGCCGGCTCCGAGGATCAGGTGAGTATAACTTTTATATTTTAGCACCTAAGCAAAAACTAGCAGTTAACCCTTGCAGTGCAGGGGTCACCCCACTGCAAGGGTTAATAAAAGGTTTGGCGTGTTTCTTTAATAGAAGTGATAGTCTGAATGGGCCCTCAAGCTCTATTCATATTTGGGTGTCAATGCATGTTAAAGCACAGAACTAAATACATTGAGGTTTTTTTTTTTTTTTTACATAGAAAACTTGCACCGACTGAGTTATTAGGATGCCGTTTCGGACCTTCCTTTGAAAGTGCTAGTTGCCAGGCTGTCATGTTGATCCAATGGCTTCAGTACTTTGCATATTGCTGATCTGGAACGACTAGTCAGGTAAGAAGTGATGTTGAAACATCTGATCTGTGTACTTGTTCTTAGACAGTGGCTTGAATCCAAGAGGTTTGGATTAGAGGTGGCCTGGACTATAAAAAGCATGCAAGATTTGCTTACTCAGCGTGCTCCTTGAAGAATGCACGGTTCATGTGTACCAGGGCCTGATCAAATGAAATGACTTTAGAAGTCAAAGTAAAGTCAACACATCTAATCAGTATACTTTTTGCAAGTGAAAGCAATAAAACCATCAGCTCAGCATATTAGTCAGGAAACTAGCTTTTCAAAGGGATAGGTTAGCAATGTCAATCTCCATCTTTCCTCAGTGCAGGTCTCCTTTACATCCCAACATTTTCTGGCTAATTCTAGTGCGCCTTAAAACAGAATCTGTCATGAGAAAGCTGCCATTGCCGACCTGTTATTTTGCCGGCTGTCATGCTGATGCTTTGGCTTCAATGCTTTCTGAGTCTCTGCCCTGGAACAAGCATCAGATAATTCTGACTCTTTTCTGACACCCATTTACAGCGTGCTTATTCCAGGTCTGTGACAGCCAGGCAACTAGAATTTTTAAAAGTGCGCCAGCCATACTTTCCTCCTGACAGAGTTACTTTAAAGGAGAACTATGAGGTGAGTGCTTTTCACTCACCTCATAGTTCTAGCCGACCTGTGACAATGAGACTGTCACAGGTCGGCTCAGTAGATCGGGAGGTGAGCGAACACATACCGGCGTTCGCTCAACTCTCGATCCTGTCACGGCTCTCTGCCATGACAGGGGAGGGGTTGGATTCCCCCCTCCAATCCGCCAGCGCTGACTGGCGGAACGGACGGGGGAGGGGGCGGGCACAGCTGGCTCTGCCTCTAGATAGGCAGAGCCAGCTGTCAGTCATGCAGCTGGGCGGATCCCGGCACAATTGTCGGGATCCGCTTCAGCTGCGGCGTCTCAGTATACCGCGAGCAGCAGCTAGGGTGACGGGAGGACGTTTGTTTGTGTCCTCCCGTTACCCTAAGGAGAACTATGGGGAAAAGCCCTAACCCCATAGTTCTCCTTTAAAAGCTGAGAAGCTGGTGTGGGGCTTGAAGTAAAGATGGCAGATGAAACTACTGTATAGACATGAATTGCACTTAGCTGAATCCTATGATGTGTCATAGACAGGCACTCATGACAAATGGACACTAAAAATGTAATACTGCATATAGAGGGCTCTGGTAATGGTCCATTTCCAGCCACCAAACTCTAAATTCCATATGCATCCAAAAGCTGCTGATTCAGATGATTTTATGTAGACAATGGGAAATACAGAAATCACAGAGGCTCTAATACCATTTGTAAGTCGGCACTTCATCATCCTAATGAATCTCTATGATTAAGTGCTGACATATAAAACAGGTTAGAGACTTTGTATTCTCTGTATTTCAGTCTTACCAATATTAAATTAACTTTTGGAGTGTAGTATTTCCACCTAAGTTAGATGAACCCATGCTACGTTACCTTCTTTTTCTGCACAGTAATGCTGAGCAGTGCAGAGTTGGTTTGCACCATTCAGTTTAATACCACTGACATCAATGTAGGTGTTTTTGGGGAGCAAGGCGCTCTAGCCCTGACATGCATAATTTAAAGAGAGGTCCAATCTGATATTACCCTTTAGAGGTCACTCCAGTCAAACATTTTCCCTTTAAATGCCTTCATTGGTAAACCATATTGAGCCTACCTACTGAATGTCTCATTTTCATCCTGGCTGTCATCTTGTGCAACTAGCTGCTTTTTCCACTATAACTGTTCTTATGCATCTGGATGGTCCTGAATCCAAGACTAATAAAATGAAGGCCACTGTTTTTCAGATTTAGAGCACCAACATCTCCATTGTTCAGCACTGAACATGGTGGCAGGTGGCCTCATTTCTACTCAAAAGCACTGCGAAAGGTAGGCTGATTCTGGCTACAATGGATTATATAAACATTACATTACAGCTAAATTGGCTATACCTTCTGACTTTCTGTTGGTATGTTTAGTATTAGCAGTTCATTGGTTAAGCTGACTTGCTGCCTGAAATTAGCCTTTAATGTGGCCTAACAAAGATCCATCAGTGATGGTAAGCAGGCTTCTAGATGTCACTACATGACTTTCACACACCTTATACACTGTTTCACAAAACCTAAAGCCCCAGTGATGTGCTATTCAGACAGCGATCTCAGAAACGGTTGCACTTGGCAGCTTCCCTATTAGCCCAAGATGCTGGCAATCATACTTACAGGAATCTGAGTGGCAAAGCAGATGGGAAGGAGAAGGGCCAATTTAAGCTTCAAATCCTGAAGTTCCTATTTGCAGATCCAATCACCTTGGCTTCAGGCTATCGAAACAGTGCACAAGGCATTGAATGTGAGAGCACATGCATGCATCTCTTCAATATGAAAACCTATATGCAGGTTTCAAACCACTAGAATTACCAGGATTTCTACATCATCAAAGGGCTCTTGAAACAGATTCATGTTTGCGATTCACTGAACTTTCTTGCAACATTTCACATTGCGCAGTAATTGCGTCCAGCATTTGTGACATTTATTTATTATAGTAATTTCTATAGCATTAAATACCCTCCAAACTGTTGCACGTTCTAGAAGCCCTCCTGAGCACTTCTCAAAGTATCAAGAGATAAATCAGCTTCATACCCCCTTTACAGCGCAGCACTTTAGGGCTATTCAGCCGTCATCCTGGAGGTTCCCAGCAAACTTGCGACAGTTTAGAGACAGTTTAAAGACCAGGGCAGTTTAGAGACAATTTAGAGACAATTATCCTTATGGAGGCATGTAAGAATAAAACATAAACAAAGGTGATAAATCTGTCGCTATATGCACTAGAAATCAGGGATGCAATAGTTTTGCATCCCTGATTCCAGGCCGGAACGCACTGTATCGCATTGCGGCCGGCTCACTATTTCGTGGGGCTGGAGGGGGCGTGCCGGGCCATTGATGTGAATGGCACCGTAGTCACGGCCTTCAGCCGCAATGCGATCACTTGCACGGGATGCTGCAATGCGCTGCAAGCACTATTTTGACCGGACCGCAGGCACAATGTGCCCTGCGATCCTGTGTGGGCAATCGCATTGCGGCCGTGGGCCGTGGCTATGGTGCCATTCACTTCAATGGCCCGCCACGCCCCCTCCAGCCCCATGAAATAGTGAGCCGGCCGCAATGCGATGGTGATATGATATGGTGTGAACGTACCCTTAAGACACTGATGATGATCCCCCGCAGTATTTCCATGTATTGAACAAATGAATGGTTTACACAGTCAGTGTTTGTGATTAAAACAATTGTTTTCTCTGCGCCCTGTTTACACTATAGATATGCAGTGGTATGCAGAAAAATGCAGCTCCACACACACGGTGTGAATAAGCCCTAAAGGAAATTATTTCTGTCAGTTACTAAATAAAAGGGTTCACATATATTTTCCTGGCTGGACTGTGCATGCTTCATTGTTGTGTTCAATAATGTCATGAATGAGTACAATGGTATGGTATTAGTTAAACAGTCTCATAGTATTTGAAAACTAGACCACATTTTAGAAGACGGGTAAATCCGAACGATTTCTAAACTTGCCATTGTATCGGGTGGCTAACGGGTGGGGGTTAAACAAACATACCTGAACCATCTCCAAACATGTTATGGCTGAGGTCTATACATTCCAACCTCTGGTTATTCATAAGAGCATCAGATAAACAGGGAGTTGCCCGGTCATCAAACTCATTCCCAGACAGGTATACCTTCTGTAGTGTCATGTTCTCCATGAGCATTCCTGACAGAGCTTTGGCACCTTTCAGTCCTAGTCTGTTATCACACAAGTGAAGCTCTGGAAAATAGTAGAAATGCCGTTATTGTCTACGTTCCTAAAAATCAACAGTTCTACGTGCATTTAAAGTGCATGTTAACCTTTACAATAAACACCTATTATTTGCTCCAATTTGGTCTGTTAAAAAACAACAACTCTGGGCAGTAAAAAAAAAAATTAACCCTTGCAGTGGGGCTACCCCCACACCCATGGTGGTGATTGCCCACCTCTCTCCCCTTCCGCTTCGGCGGTTTAATGACCTATGACGTCATCACATAAAGTCTATTAGAAGTCAAGACACTGAGGGACATTTCACAGGTGAAGCCGAGGGGGAGGGAGGTAAGCAGTCACTACCGTGGGACGGAGAATTGGGTGAGTATAACGTTTTTATTTTAGACCCTAGACCAAAAGGACCACTTAAAGCCTGCAGTGCAGGGGTGGCCCCACTGCAAGGGTTAATTTTGTTTACTGCGCTGAGTTTTAAAAAAAATATACCATCAAAATAGTTTTGTTTTAATCTGTAAAATGAATGCAAAAAATACCTCTTGATCCTAACATAAATCCAGTGAGTTTGAAAGTTCTTTTGCACTCTGCATATATTGCTCTGAAATCATATGCACTATTTTCAACCCTTCCCAGGTCACCTCTGTGAACTACAGAACACCTTCCATTTATGATATGAGGATGATGTGAGGAGAAGGTGTTCTGTAGACCCAAAACATTTCTTGTCCTAAGGTGACAACACTTCACCTACATATAATTAGCACTGTGAATGAGTGTTGTCACCCTAGGACAGGAAGTGTGGCAGAATCAGCAGGTGAGAATAAAGAAAAAATTGTCTGAAAATGAGAGAACTAATGCAGCCATGAAATTTAGGGACCGGTAAACTGTAATATATTAACTGTGATGATTAAATGTAATCCTTCTTTATGTAATATTCCCAAATGCTCCTGTACACCAGCTGAAATTTCTGGATGACATTGGAAGATCTGAACTATGCTGAAATTTTAAACAGCCTCACAGTTCATACATAGGTCAGCATGATTTAATAAAGCCATGTCTAGAGAAACAATTGTAAAACCCTCAGAAATAGGAATGGACTGACTGAGCAGAAAAATAATAATATAATAATTAGAGGTGCACCGAAATGAAATTTTGAAACTGAAACCGAAAATAAAAAAAATTGTCAGGCCGAAACTGAGAATATATATATATATATATATATATATTAATAAATACTGTTTACTGTATTGTCGGGGGCTCTGGAGGAAAATCAGGGGTCTAAACAGACCCGATATTTCCCTTTTTAAATAGAAAAAGAGATTGAGGACACAATCTCTTTTTCTGCAGCCCCTGTAATGAATGAACAGGAATCCTGTTCATTCATAACTTGTGGAGATAGCATGTTTACTATGTCCACAATCATGAATGAACAGGAAGTGATGTAGAGCACTTCCCATTCATTCATAATTGGGGCCACAGTAAACATACTCTGTCCTCAATTATTTACAAACAGTTAGCAATCACTGATCGCTGACTGCTTGTACCCGCTCTCCTTCCTGACTTGCTGTCACAGGAAGCTGAGCCCTCCTGTGACAGCTGACAACTGTCTCTGCCCCACACTGTTTTCCTGATCTGTGCAGGAGGCTGAGCGGGGCTGTACGGGAGGAGAGCCCAGCCTCCTGAGACTTCACGCTGCTCACAGAGCTCTCCTCCCCACCCCGCCTGAACATTTTGCTCCTCTCCGCTGGATGCTGTGTCAGAGGGGACATAGAGCAGCGCCTAGCGGGGTGGAGAGAAACCAGGAATGCACCACAATTTGTACTTTTCGGCATTTTGCCAAAAGTGCCATTTGCAGCTGATATGTTTCAGCTGACAAAATTTTGGTGCATCCCTAATGATAATACAGCCACAGGTTATTATAATGCCTTTAAATACATGTTTGAGGGGCTGAAGTGTCTTTTGAAGTTGACTACATACCTGATATGTAACAGTTTTCTTTTAACATGTCTGTAATGGCAGCTGCACCATCTCCCTCGACCCAGTTGTCACTGAGATTAAGACTGACAATTGAAGTGTTAGTTACTAAAGAGAGAGCAATTGCTTTTGCAGCCTGAAACAAATTAGAAGACAAGGCAAGGGCTTATATATTTTTATTTTTTAGCACCATCATACTCAACATTCAACCTAGAGGCAGGAAATGTGTGTACATCAATGCAGTAAATGGCACCAACACACTCTCTGTAGTGTTTGCTCTGTACATAGAACCATTTCCATTATATTCTGCTGCAATGGAACTTACAGTGTATTGATCCTGATTAGACTTACAACGGAGGAACCCATTGTGAAGGATGGGTTCCTCAGTTGTGACACTGCTGACTGGGATTCCTCTGGAGAGACTTTCCCTTCATCTCCTAATGACCACTGTAACTGATACAGTAAACATGTTGTATCCCCCCTCCCCTCCATGGGTATGCAGACAGAAATAAAAACCTGACCTGGATTCTAAAGGTTTCAGTAAACCCATGCTAAAATGAATTCATAAGGGGTCAGTGGGAAGAATGACTCTTATGTTGGTGGACAGTGGGAAGAATGACTCTTATGTTGGTGGACAGTGGGAAGAATGACTCTTATGTTGGTAGACAGTGGGAAGAATGACTTATGTTGATGGCCAGTGGAAAGAATGACTTATGTTGATGGTCAGTGGAAATAATTACTCTTATGTTGGTGGACAGTGGGACGAATTACTGTTATGTTGGTGGTCAGTGGAAAGAATGACTCTTATGTTGGTGGTCAGTGGAAAGAATGACTCTTATGTTGGTGGACAGTGGGAAGAATGACTCTTATGTTGGTGGACAGTGGGAAGAATGACTTATGTTGATGGCCAGTGGAAAGAATGACTCTTATGTTGGTGGACAGTGGAAATAATGACTCTTATGTTGGTGGACAGTGGAACGAATGACTCTTTTGTTGGTGGTCAGTGGAAAGTATGCCCCCCTTATACTAGTGGTCAGAATCCCACCTTAACAGACAGCTAAAAAGATCTGCCACGTGATGTTGGAGCTGCAATTAAGCAGGCACCTTCAGATTGGAGGTTAATTAGCCATGGCTCAAGGAACCCCTAGCAAGCTCTGGAGGAACTCTAACGTTCTACAGAACCCATGTGTCTGTTCTATACTATATATGAAGCTCCGCCAAAAAGCACACACATTCACATAAACATGCTGATTGTAACCAATACATTTTAATCTGAAATACAATATTTTACAAACTGTCACATTAATAATCATGCAAAACTGTGCAACCGCACAACATCTACAGTGAAACCCAATCAAACCTAATGAAATTATTTCCACCTCTTTCAGCCATTGTTGTATAGAACACACATCTGTGTTGTGTTCATCCATTCACTTTGGCATTTTTGTAGATTCTGACCTAAAACTATTCAAGGGTATAAATCAGAATGGAATGTGGTCACCTAGGATACATGTTAGACATGTTAGTACCATACTGCTTTTCCCCATGCTGCATTTTCTGATTGGTATATACACTGGGGGGATTGATCAAAACTGGAGCAGATCTGCACTGCAACCAATCAGCTTCTCTCTTTCATTTTCAAATCTTACCTGGGCAAACTAAAGAGAGATGCTGATTGGTTGCCATGGGCAACTGCTCCAGACTCTGTCAGCTCCAGTTTTGATAAATTCACATATTATAATATGTGTCTCCAGATTTTCAACAGGTAGCTTGGCCATCCATATTCATGCCCTAGGGTGCGTAGTAACAGGCAGCAACTGCTCAATTTCTTGTGGGTTAAACAAAATTAAAGGGTCAGTCCACTCAAAACTGATACATTGTAGTTTTTGTTATATGTGGGAAAGATAAACCACACAACAGTTTCCTATACTTATCAGAGACTTTCCTTTGTCCTTGAGTTCTTGGTTCTGCACACCTGCTGTAGCTCTTATGAGGATTTAATATTGTAACTGTTGGATTTTTATTACATTCTATATTTTGGGGTTCCAACAGGACATACTAAGACACACAAAGGTGGGTGGGAGCATGCAATACTTCCAGGGACAGATTAAGGAATTTTAGCAGGCTGATCACATTGTCCAGCAGTAACTATCACTTGAGTGGAATGGCTCTTTAACATCATTACGGTAGTAGATCATAAAAAATCACAGTCATTTATACCCCCAGTGATGTGAGAATATAAATTGTTCTGGTCTGGTGGGTTTCATATACCATGGAATGTTTTTAGTTCCACTATGGCACTGGAGTGACCTGGGTGTCAGAAAAATAATCTACTATGACTCTATGGTACAAATAAAATTCATTGTAACACCTATTTTCCCACGATGGATCAGTATAGTACTATGCTTACCTGTGCACCTAGCCCATGGTGTCTCATCACAAGTTTCGAGTCGCCCATGTGACGCAAGTAGTATGAAACTGGAACAACCCCAAATAACTGGCAGGCAGATAAGTATCTGGATTTACCAGAGGGATCATAGGCCAGTTTGGCGTCTGCAAAGGAAATTGACATGTTAACCCAAAAGTATGGGATTCTGGGAAAATAAGTGATTTCAACATTTGTGCAAAATGATCTCCTATCATATGCATAGAATAACATTTTGTGCAGACATGTTCAAGTTACAGTGGTACTCATTCATAGAAATTATCATTGATTTGCCGTAGCCATCCCAACGCACATAACACATTTTAAGCAACAATTATTATAGCTCAATGGCCACCTCACCTTCTTTTGGTTACAGCGGTTCTCATTCATGAAATCAGTCATTAGCCCTAGCAATCACATACCAAGCAGCTGTGATATTATACACGTTTAAGGGCTGGTTCAAACAAACATTTTAGATATCACTGATGACCATTATCATTTCAGGTGGTATGAGATTTTTTCTGCCAGCAAAGCCTATCAAATAAACTTGAATATGACCTGAACATGCAGAGCAGTTAGGTTTCAGGTATTTATATAATCACTTGGTTTAAACCCAAAGCTTGTGCAGAGGTTGAATGTTAAAGCAGACTTTAACATTAAAAAAACTATTTGCAAGCTGGAGGCTTTTTATAGCTTCTTACCCTTCCTCTCTAAAACTTCTGTGCACGCCCAGCTCAGTGTAGTTTCTCAGCATATATTTGTGCAGGGATGAATTAACCCCAGTGGCAGATACCATGTCCTGGGCTGGCCAATCAAGATGGCCCAAGATGTCAAACCTGGCAGAAGACCCGGCCAAGATGTTGGCATCGGCAAGGAAGCTCACCCACACCGCATCGCTACAGAGAGGTGAGTATAACGGACTTTATTTCCACTTTAAATAAAGGTAAACCTTTCCTAAGAGAAACATGAAGTCTGCCATTGCTGACTGCAAGCTTTAATACTCAGCCCAGAACAAATATTCAAATACGGATTTCTGACTAGACCCTGATGTTCTTTACCTGTATACTGTACATGTTCTGGGTCAGTGGCTTGCAAAATATTGAAACCAAGGGGTCAGCATAAAACTCTGTCAACTAGCATTTTTAGGAGGTCAGCAGTGGTACCCCCCTTCTTTCTACTGCCATATGTTCCGAAGCATTTAGTAAAAAGATATATATATATA